CAGTTTTGTATGGTCTGCTACCATACAAGTCAGAGGCCACAGGTTATTGCAACAGGTAAAACAGCTTCAACCCGATGCCTCCCCAGAAACAGTTATGACCGATTTCGAACTTGCCATATTCAGTGATATTCGTCAAGAATGTCCAAGGGCTAAACATCGAGGATGTTCCTTCCATTTTTAGCAGTGTGTATTCCGAAGGATTCAGGCAAAGAATCTTCAAAGAAGGTACGAAACTGACGTCGAATTTGCAATCAAAAGCGACTGTTGTCTGTGTTGGCCTTTGTCCCAAAAGAAGCTGTGGTAGAAGCATTTGAGGTTCTTAGTGGTAGCGGTCATAACATGCTTGAAGAAGCACACGGCGTGATTGATTACTTTGAAAACTGCTGAATTGGACGCCCTCAACGACGCATGGGACGCTGAATGCCCCTCTTCTCCCTAGAAACGTCACGAAGGAGTAAGACAGTCTTCCGAAGACAAAAATTCTGTTGAAGGCTGGCATGGTAGATTCGAAATATATATGTCGGCACAGCACTCTAATATCTAGAAATTTACTGAAGCGAATCCGCGTGAACAGAGCGTCAGGACATTGCAAATATAACAATATTTGAGTGGCCAACAAGGTAGCTCTGCGCGTATGAAATAAAGGGATTGCGCTGAAAGACTTTTCAGAGTTGTTTATACGTTTTTGAATGGTGTGACAGAGTATTGCAATAACAACATATCTGTCTGCGTGTAAATAACGTTGCAGAACTTTTTTTTCAATTAAATGATTTCAGTTAAATTTGTTTTATTCGAAATTTACAGTTACCTACATGATTATCATTTTCCGACCAGTTACTTCAAATCAGCACATTTAAATTTTTTTGCAGTACTGGCGATACTTTATATGAAATAAATTATTTTTTACGTTTTATGTTTTAATAAATAAATCATCGGCGATCAATTGTAAAATCGGTGACTTTTCCAGTCAGTGAATTTTCCGGTCGGTGAATTTTCCAGTCGTTAAACTTTCCGTCGGTGAACTTTCCTAGATCCCCTCAAAGTGCTCCCTCCATCGCCGAAGAATGTAATCATCCTTGGTA